AGAAGAAGTCAATAATAAAAAGATAATCTTCATTATTAAAACAAAATGTACAATCCTTTAAAGACGTGCTCAATAAAGTGTTTTGACATTAAATATATACTTATAAATTATAAATATATATTTTATAAACAAATCAAAATGCAATTTATTATTTCTTTCTATCCTCAACTTCTTCTTTTTCTTCATATTACAATTACACTCCTGGTTTCTTTTCTTTGAAATCTTTTACTTCATCATCTACAATAATATTAAAATTTTATACCATCTCTCGTTAATTAATTCAATGTCTATTTCTTAAATAATCTTTTATCATCTAAATCATTTGGGTCAAATATTAAATCTTCATCAGAGTAATCTTTCTCTTCCAATTCTTATATATTCTCTCTAAAAATAAATTTATTTATTCTAATTTACTTCTTCTTCATCTTCCACTTGAATAAAATATTTGAATAAATTCATGATGTAAAGAATTTCGAAAATAGTTTAAAAGTCATTTGTGTATATTCAGTAAGAAATTGATAAGTTCTTATTAAGAATACTTTTTTGGATTCCAAAAATAAGTTCTAATGATTTAAAAATATTGGAGTATTAACAGTTAATCCAATAAGGATATTAAATATGTGGGCTTGTATTGAAATTAATTTAAATATTATATCAATTTTAGAATATTAAACTCATGAACCCCTTTTTTCTATTTACTTTCGATATAAGACAAGAGATTGTTTCTAAATATGGAATAGCATAGCTTATTTAATGATATATTATTTTATCATTCTTGTTAACCATTATCATAATTAATTAGTTTATGATTATAACATAGATAAGAGGATCAAATAATACTAATTCATAGTCATTAATCACATAAATAGATTTTAGTTATACCATATAGAAATAAAGAAGTTACAATTGTAGTAACAATAATTGAGTTTGCTTTATCATTGTTTAGATTTATGCTTTTAATTCTTCTAGTTTAAAATTATAAAACAATCACACTTAATAAATTTAATTTAGCAGTCTTGAAAATGTGTTCATTTAATTTATATATATTTTTAGAAGATAAATAAGAATATTGTACTGGATTGTGTGTTATTCATTTTTACTAGTATCAACCTACAATAAATGAAGTACTAAGATATAATTCAATATCTATCTATATGTGTTACTTTTAAATTTTAGTTAGATTAGTGTTTATTTTTATACGAATTAAAACTCTGATGTACAAATAATAAATAATAATTTTAGATGATTTATTTACTTGTTAGTTTTGGAAATCATTGATTAATTACATTTAATTATAGCATTATATGGTTATTTTTGTAAAATGATGTTGATTACATTTTTCATTTATTTATTTAGGGTAAAGTTTTGGATTTTTAATTGAATATTTTATAAACATAGATGATTCATATACATTAATTACAATTTTGATTATAATTAATTATGTATTTTATCATCTTAGTTTTAGAAAGTGGTATTTTGAATATCAATTTACTAATTGTAAAGATGTTTCAATTAGGGTGATTCTATTAAGTTTGTTTAGAGAATTAGAATGTTCAAATGTTTATTATTTGGGAATAATATAAAAACATTACAATCATAAATGCTGTCTATTATAGCGGTAAAAAATTTACAAAATACTTTTTTTTTACAACTAAGAAAAATAATCTTGGTTTATTTGTTAAGTTTTTATAAAATATTTATTAGAAACATAATTAAATTAGAACCTAATTCTACTGAATTAAGATTGCTCTATTCGGAAATCTTATTTTGTTGATTCAATTTAATAAATGCATCTTTTAAAAATTATAAAAATTGAAAACTGTATTGAATTTTAATTAATAATTCAGAATAAAATAATTAAAGCTATCAATTTATAATAAATTAAAGGAAAACAATTAATTGAGCTTTAGATCAAAATTACTTTTTGAAAATATGTTGAAATGGGAAGAATAAATGAAAGAGTTTTTTTAAGCTTTTCTTACAATATCAGAATTTTACGTGTATTTTTGGAAAAATTAACTTCTCTACTAAAAGAATAGACTGTTACTTTAAAAAATTAGAGTGGATACTAATATTCAGGGAAATCTTCTTTTTTTATTTAGATATTTGAATTCAAATAGAGATTGCTCTTTAAAATCATTTTTACATTAAGAGAAGATGTTTTAATTTAAGGATCTAATACAATTTATAGTTTAATAACATAATCCTTTTATCAAAGAAGAATTAAATAAATTATCAAAAAAAGTTAAAAGTTAACTTAGATGTTCTAATTTAATTTTATCTAAACGATATCTGAAAAAATTAAATGAAAATGCCATTTCATAATATAAAATATAAGAAATTATCTTTAGAGATTAAAAAGTTTATTCATCATAATCAACAAATAATTATGGACATAGATTTAAAAAACTAAAATAAT